TGTGTGTTCTTGGAATCAAGCTCAAGCCATCAGAGTTGGCAGTAAAGTACCTTTACCCACTGAGCCATCTCACCGGCTTGGAGGGTTGATTCATTACGGTCTAAGAAAGTAGCTCATGCTGTGTTCAGAGTGGGAGTTGGCAAGCTGTGGCATCACATTTTTGTTTTATTGAACACAGTCATGTGGACTGGTCTCTGTATTATCTCTGGCTACTCTTGTCCTGCATGTTGTTGCTGTGGCAGAATTGAGGGTAACAAGGGTTACATGGCTCACAAGCCTGTGGCATTGCATGTGTGGTACCTGAGGTCCAGGCCTTTTAGAAAAGTTTGCTAGCCCTTCTTTAGAGCCTTGCTCCTCCATGCCTCTCCTACAGCACAGCTGCTTCCTAGGAGTGCTGAGTCTCTGGCCTGCCCACACTCGTGCGTTCTACACGGTTTACATTTCCACAACATGTCCAGGTTTTCCAGTGCTTACTGTATCTGAGAAGCACCGCTGTTGGCAATGTGAGCTTACTGTAAGTGAAGCCTGGTAAAGTTTTTGTTCTTGATGAAGAGACCTTCCCAAAAGTGAAGGCTTGATTGATCCAGCCTGGTCAGAGCCATCATGTATTTGTAGGGAGATTCATGGTAAAGTGGAGGACTGCCTCACAAGTGTCTAAGCAGTCAGTGCTAATTCCTACTAAAGCTGCCTTTGTTCTTTAGGACTCTGGCGTGAGGCTCCCTTTTTTGTCTTCATTAGGGTCTTAGGTTATATATACTTCTACAACATACTAGTCTCAAGGGTGGAGGTATAGCTTTGGTACAGTTTGCTGTCTTTTGATTCCTTAGGATGAGATCCATCTTCTACATGATGACAGAGGTCCTGTCTTAGAAGCTTTGGTGGCCAGGGCCATCCGAAACATTGAGATGACCCAAGAAGATGTCCGACTCATTGGTCTCAGCGCCACCCTCCCCAACTATGAAGATGTGGCGACCTTTCTGCGTGTTGACCCTGCCAAGGGCCTCTTCTACTTTGACAACAGGTATAAGAAGAGACTGGAAACTTGTTACCAAAGCATTCTTCCTTTTCTATTCCCTTCTCTAAGGAGCACACTAAATGAGTTTTAGGGTTCCTGTGTGTATTTTAAAAAGCATTATTGCTTCTAGGTCAATGGAAAGTTACTTTTTCCCCCACAGTATTCTCTGCTGGAAATCTCATTTCTGTAACTCTTGAACTTCTAGCTTCCGCCCAGTGCCTCTGGAACAGACATATGTGGGCATCACAGAGAAAAAAGCTATCAAGCGTTTCCAGATCATGAATGAAATAGTCTATGAGAAAATCATGGAACATGCTGGAAAAAATCAGGTCTGTTGATGCTTCTTGAACCTTTTCTGTTTTTGACATAAGCAAAATTGAAAAGGTAATAGCATGAATTGCCAATGGTCATAAATGACATGAGTTATTACTACAAAAATTGCCTTAAAATATAGACAGGAGCTGGGCGGTAGTGGTGCACGCCTTTAATCCCAGCACTCGGGAGGCAGAGGCAGGTGGATCTCTGTGAGTTCGAGGCCAGCCTGGTCTACAGAGTGAGTTCCAGGACAGGCTCCAAAGCTACGCAGAGAAATCCTGTCTTGAAAAACAGGAGAAAAAAAAAAAAAAAAAAAGATATCAAAAATAAAGCTGCAAATTAAAATCTAGAGAAAGCAGTCCAGTGAGATGGTTCTGCAGGTAAAGTGCTTGCCCCTAAGCCTGGTGACTTGAGTCTGATCCCCAGAAACCACATGGTGAAGGTAACTCCTCTGACCTCTCTAGGTGTGCTGTGGCGTGCATGAATGTTACACACACAAAATTAATAAATACATGTAATTTAAAAAATAAAATCAGTATAGCATGTTTAGATCACTCAGGTGAAAAACCAAAAAAAAAACCAAAACAAAAAAAAAAAAAAAAAAAAAAAAACAAACACACTGTGGGGCATGATGGTGCATGCCTTTACTACTAGCTCTTGGAGTTCAAGGCCAGCGTGCTCTGCATGGTGAGTTCCAGGCTAGCCAGGGATATATAGTGAAACCCTGTCTCAGAACACTAATGAAAGCAGATTTTGTTTGGAAGTTGAACAGAGCTTAGGAGTGTTAAATAAGGCAAGAAGTGTAAGGTTATGCCTTTCTTTTTCTGATAAAAAGCACAGGAGTAAAAAGGAAAAAAAAAAAAAAAAGCACAGGAGTTTATAGGACAAGACTTCAGGACACTAGATCTTAGGAGCACTATATTCCTTATAATATGGTGCTAGTTTCAAACTTACTCCCTAAATTTTTTTTATAAATAATGTAATTGTTTTGCTATTATCTTTTTTTTAATTTTTTTTTTTTTTTATGTGCATTGCTGTTTTGCCTGCATGTATGTCTATGTGAGGGTGTCAGATCCCCTGGAACTGGAGTTACAGACAGTTGCAAGCTGCATGTGGGTGCTGGGAATTGAACTTGGGTCCTCTGGAAGAGCAGCCAGTGCTCTTAACTACTGTGCCATCTCTCCAGCCCCATAGTTTTACTATTATCTTACAAACACATCTTCATTTGGCTTAGACTTGTTAAGCCTCTGAACATAGTCTTAGTTGAGGTCTCTGAATTGTCATACACTGCCTATTTAAATTTGCTGTTCAAGGTAGAATTCTAGGGTTAGATTAGTTTCTCAGCTGTAAGATCATGTCACTATCCTTGGTAGATTCCTTTTCCTTGAGTTCTGTTTTGTTCTTTGAGACATGATTTTGCTGTGTATTCTGGGCTAGGCTTGAACTCTCTGAGTAGTCAGACTAGCCTGACTTAGCCATAACCTACAGTGCAGGAATTCTAGGTGGAGTCACCATGCCCAGCTTCCCTTTGGGTAGCATCAGCCTTTTTCCAATCCAGCATGCGTTTTTTTTTTTTCTGTCAGCTCTTTCTAAATCATGGCTTCCAGTTAGAGTGGAGCAGCCTTTGCTTCCTGCAGCTGGTGCCCTGGTGCTGTGTGAGCTGCTGCTGAAAGCGCATGCCTTAGATATACCCCAATTCTCCTTAGGTGCTGGTGTTTGTCCACTCTCGAAAAGAAACTGGGAAGACAGCCAGGGCAATCCGTGACATGTGCCTGGAGAAGGACACCTTGGGTCTGTTTCTTCGAGAGGGTTCTGCCTCCACTGAAGTCCTTCGTACAGAAGCAGAACAGTGCAAGGTAAAAAGGGGCCACCTGCTTTTCAGGCTTGTGCCTGGTGACTGGGTCCATATTGCTGGATAGATTCCTTTGGGACTATATGCACCAAGTGCTACTGTTTCAGATAGGTTAAAAGTAATTGGGGGGCTAGGGAGATGACTCAGCATATAAAGGTGGTGCCTGTTGCCAAGACTGATGGCCTGAGTTCAATCTCAGGGACTCACATAGTGGAGGGAGAGAACTGACTCCCATGGGTTTTTCTCTGACCTCCACACCCCTGCCACACACAAACATACATACAAACATAAGTCCATACATTTTTGTAAAAGGTGACTATATGTAGTTATGGGGGCTCCTGTGGAAAGGTTTCCTTTGGCTCTGGAGGAGTTCCATGGGGAGGCTGGCCTCACTTTGTGACTTTTTTTTGTTCGCAGAACTTGGAGCTGAAGGATCTTTTGCCCTATGGCTTTGCTATTCATCATGCAGGCATGACCAGAGTTGATCGAACACTTGTTGAAGATCTTTTTGCTGACAAACATATTCAGGTGAGGAGCGGCAAAACTTGAAAGAGCAGGCGATGTAGACTCTAGAGCATCTGAAATATCAGTAGCTCTGCCCTTGGTGGGATCCTTGGACTTTTTTT